AAGGGTGAGCTGCGGCCAGAGAGGACGTATGGGGAGAGGAAGGGGATAGGGTGGGGAGAAAGGAGAGATGCCAACACTGCTGCCAACTTTGGGGGTCCCTTCCCTGGCCTCCCCAGAGGTCCAGGGCTGGCTCCGCTGCAGCCATCCACCACTACCCACAGCTGGAGAGGCTGCAGGCGTGCACCAGGCCAGGGTTCTCCCCACCCCAGTGTCTGCCAGGAAGAATATTAGTCGGGAAATTTTAAAACACATATGTAAAACGTGTGTATACACGCACGCATATATATACTGTAAACATTTATATAAATCTTATCACTTACAAACGCCTAGGATTTAAAATGTAGTTTATCGGCCTAGTGCAACCCAATCCTATAAATAATACATTCCTATCACTATGACCTCAAAATGTCAATACCGCACAGCCCTGTGCATTTGCATATCTTGTACTGTCTAAACTTGAAGCATGTCAGCTATGTGCTTCTGTTTGTACTTTAACTTCATTTTAACTCTTGCTTCCTAGGTCCCACCACCCTCCCCCTTCACAGGGTCTGTCATCCAAACGAGAAAAGCACGAGGTATTTAATCACTACCTCTGTAATTATGCCATTGCCAGGACTGTAAGGAGAGGAAAGGGGGATGGGAGGGGGCACCCTCCCCGGAGATGCTAAGGAAGAGCCTGGGCTCAGAAGCCGAATGGAGCCGGGCTGCCCGCCCTGCCTGCCCAGGCTATCCCTCCAGCGGGGGTGCGGGACGAGAGCAGCCGTCCGCAGGTACCTACTGATGGTAAATGGGGAATAGAGGAAGGGAGATGAAGGGAAGGGGGGCAGCCCCTGTCCCCCAGCAACAGTCCCCCTGGCATGGTTTTCACTTGACTGCGAGGCCTCGGGGCCCGGGTCCTCCTCCATCCCCTGCCAGCAGCCACCGCCGCCTGGAGCGGCCGGACCTTTCTGTATAGGGCTCATTTCCAGCATTTTGTTGAGGAAATGCGGCGGCGGGGAAGATGCAGCTCTCAAGGCAGGCCAGCGGAGGGGCAACCGGCACCTCCCGGGACCGGGGGACGCAGGGCATGCAGACCGCCCGGCGTGGCGCGGAGCGCAGCAAAGGTGCCTCCCGCTGTGTGCAAACCAGCGGGAGAGAGGGGCATGTCTCTCGCCGGCCCCGGGCAACCCGCTTTGTCCCTGACAGCCCCGTCTCCCTCAACGGTACCCCTAAAATCTGCCTTGGGCTGCAGGAGAAGGAAATACCGCCGCCCCACTACGGCACTGCCGACCCCCGAAGTTTCCTCTCGGTTAACCCCTTCCGCGCCTCGAGGGGGCTGGAGACTGGCACCTGGTAACCAGGTGTTCGGGGCAGACGATGGATCTCCGGCGGCTCGCCGCGGGCTGGGTCCCGGAGCCGTCCCGGCTGCAGGGCGCTGCCCGCAGATCTGCCCACGTTGACCGCAGCGCAGCCGTCCCGCCATCACCGACCGCGGGGCACCGGCACCTGCAGGGGGCGCTGTGGCTCCAGCGTTCGGCCTCGCTGCCGCCGCAGGAGGAGCAACCCCGGGCTGGCCTTGCCGCAGGGAGACCGAGACCGAGACGGACCCGGGCCGGGACGAGCCCCTCCCGCCGCGGACAAAACAGGCACCAGCGGCGGAGGGAGAGGTGGGCCGGCAAAAATAACTCCATGGGTGGGAGCAGGGAGTGTAGTCAAAGTGGCAACAGTTTATTTATTAGCCAAAAATATATACTTTCTTGTACAATTTGGTTCACACGTATGTACATTTTTACTGTATGTACAAAACCAAACAACAACAACCAAAAAAAAAAAAAAAAAAATCGAAACACCTAATTCTCACTGGACTTCCAAAAAACCTCACATACTCAGCTAATCCAGGTGGTAGTACAGAAGCGGGTATATTTTTTTTTTCCTTTTTAGTTTTAATATACGGACATGCTTACAAGTTGTAACTATACAGAGATTATTTTTTTTTGTTTTGTTTTTACAGTCATTACAACAACAATTACAAAAAATTAACTATGATGATGACAACGCCGATAGAACCATAGCGGCATCAAGTTGGTTCTGGGGCCTGGAAAAAAATGACACAGAAAAAAAATATGTATTTAATAAGATTTCTAGTCATATGGGGCTGGCACGGTATTTCTAACTGTAGGTAGCGCTGGTTTTGTTGTTGTTGTTGTTATGGGTTTAAAAATAGGTTTCTAAATATATAAAGTTTTCGGAGTGACTTATAGCAAATTTATTTAGCTACGAATATCCCCGTGGTTTTGCTCATCAGGCGAGCAATTGATTTCAGTGGCTGCGAGGCCAAGCTCAGAGCGGCAAGGTTCAACCCCTTCAGGTCTTCTACTCGTTGGGGCTTATTTTAGCTTCTATTATTATTGTTATTATTATTATAGCCGGTTCCGTCCCGCCGCCTTTGCGCTGCTGCGTTTCTCCGCACCGTTTCTCCGGTGCTAGGGGAGGCGGGCACCGGCCGTCCAGGGTCTCTCCCCCCGGCCCCAAGCACAGGAGCCGAGGCCCCGGGCGCGGCTCGGCCGGCCCGCGGGCATCGCTCCCGAGGAGCGGACGGCAAAGGAAAGAAAAAGAGCGTATCGGAATAACCCACCACACACGCAGAAGAAGGACAAGAAACCGCTCTGGGAGAAGAACTAAAGACGCGGAGAAAATAAGCTAACCGTTTACAACTCCCTCTACATATCCTTAGAAGACAGAGGAAGCAATCCCTTACCACCTCTGCACTGGCTGGAAAGCTGTCTTTATTAACTTTTTCTCTACTTCCAAGGCACTACATCTATCTAAAAAAAAAAAAAAAAAAGAGAAGGAAAAAAAAAAAACAGAAAAAAAAAGTGTTCCTTTACAATCCCCATTTTAAATCCCCATTTTATTCACTCCTATCCCTGAATTAAGCCTCTAGACTTAAGATCTCTTCTCGGCAAGTTGCAAATACGACAAAGCGACTGCTTTGCTGCAGGAGTGACCGTCAAAGAGAACCCGAACCGACCCCGGAGCAAGCCTTGCGGCCCGGTCCTTCCGCAAAGACGATTTGAGCAGCAACAACAACAGCAACAAAAGTTACATCCGTCGGAGGAAGGTACGCCGGGGGTGTGAGACTAACCTGGCGGAGGCCCCCCCCGTCGCCGCCGCTGCACCAGGGGGCCCCGCGGCCGCCCGCCCTCCACCACCTGCTCCCCGACGGCTGCGCCGGGCAGGGGCCACCGTGAGAAACCGGCGGGGACTTCCGCGCCGCTCCGCGCAGCACCGCCGAGCCCCCCGCGGTGGCTGCCTGCCCGAACCCGTCCCCGGCGCGTCCCTCAGCGGTCACCTGCTCCGGCGGGCTCCGCGCTCTGCGCCTGGGCCGCGGGCCGCGGGAAGGTGGCGGCGGGGGGAGCGGCGGGAGCTGCCCCCAGCCCCAGGAGGTGGGGGGTGTTCAGTAAGGCCAGCGGGTGGGGGGCCGGGTGGTGATGGTGGTGGTGGGCCGGGAAGGCGCGGTTGGTCCAGTTGGAGAACTTGCTCAGGGGGCAAGAGGAGACGAGTCTGTGGGGCGGTGGCGGAGGGGGCAGCGGCAGCGGGGCGGCTGCGGGCGGGGAGCCGCCGCCGGGAGACTTGCGGGGGTTGTCCGGGCTGGTGGCCGTCTCAGCCAGCGACCAGATCTTGGGCTTCGGCAGGGTACCGGCCAAAGCGCCGTCCGTCGGGGAGGAGGCGGCGGAGGAAGAGGCAGAGGAGGGGGGCGAGAGCTGGTGGTGCGGCTGCTGCAGGGGCGGCTTGAGGGGCTCCAGGGCTGCGGAGGGGAGCTCGCACTTGTGATGGTGATGATGGTGGTGGTGGAGGTGGTGGTGGCGGAGATGGTGCGGCTCCCCCTCGGCGGCCTTGACGTAGCGCTCCTCGGAGCTGGGCAGGTCCTCGAAGCCCTCGGAGCCCTCCGAGTCGGTCTTGGAGTCGGAGTGCAGGAGGTCGGCGTCCTGCAGCTCGTCCTCCAGGTCGTCCTTGTTGCTCTCGATGTTCTCGGTGTCGATGTTCTCCAGGTCGATCTCTTCCTCGTCCTCCCGCTTGTCCTCTTCCCCCTCGTGATCGCTCCCGTAGGAGTTGCCCTCCTCGTCCGTTCTGCTTCGGGGGGCCCAGGTCATTTTGTTCTCCTTTTTGAGCCTCCGCCGTGCGTTGGCGAACCAGGTGGAGACCTGGGTGAGGGTCATTTTGGTGATGATAGCCAGCATGATCTTCTCGCCCTTGGTGGGGTAGGGGTTTTTCCGGTGCTCATTGAGCCAGGCCTTGAGGGTGCTGGTGCTCTCCCGGGTGGCATTCTTGGGCCGCGACGGGTCCCCGAACTGGTATTGCCCGTAGGGGTAGAAGGCGGGGTGGTGGTGGGGGAAAGCAGCGTGCTGCACCCCCGGGCTCTCCTTCAGCTCGTACTGGGCGCCCTGCAGCAAGAGGGAAGGGGGCGGCCCGGATAAGACGGTGCTTTGGGCCCGGCCCGGGGCCCCTCCATCCCGCCGCCGTTACGGGTAGCGCGAACGCCAGGCCGAGCTGTCTCCCGCGCCGCGGAACTCCCCGGCCCCGCTGCGGCAGCCAGGGCCGAGCCGGCTACGCCGCGACCGAGGCGCGGAGCCCGTAGGGGAAGACCCGGCTCCCCAGGTGCGTGTGCGCAGCGGGGCCGCCGGCAGCCGGGGCCGGTCACCGCAGCTGTCAAGCCCTCCGGGAGGAGGAGGGGGCTCGGGGTTGCTGCACCGGCCCTGCCCCTCTTCGGCCGCGCTCCCGGGGTCGGGTAGCGATAAAGCCCCATCTCCCCTGACAGCCCTCCCGGCGGCCCCCCGGCCCCAACCCCAGCGCTAACCGTGCCCGGGCTGCCCCCGACCGGGGCGTCCCGGGTAGCGAGGGCGAGCCCCTGGGGGGGCCTCTTACCAGCTGGGGGAAGATGGGCAGCTCGGCGGCGTAGGGCAGGAACGCTCCGTAGCTCTGGGCGGCGGCAGCAGCGGCGGCGTAGGGCGCGCTGTACATGGAGGAGAGCACGTTGGAGAGAGTCCCGGACGGGGCCAGCTCGGCGCCGCTGCGAGAGCCGCCGTTCCCCGGGCGCTCCGCTGGGTAAATCGGCCTGATGTACTGGTAGCCCAGCTGGGGGAAAGACATGGTGTGGGAGCGGGGGCAGGGGAGGGGGGAAAGGAGGAGGGGGGGAGAAAAGAGGAAGAAGGGAAAGAAAAGGGAGAAAGTAGCAGGGCCGGCAGCGGAGGAGGGAGCCGGGTCGCTTGCCCTCGCCGGCCGCCCACACTTTCAGCGCCTCCTGCAAACTCCGGTGGACATGGAGGGGGGAACCGGGGATGCGCGGAGGCCGCGGGCTCCCTCCTGCCTTCGGCCGCCGTGGTAAACGATCCGATCGCTTCTTTCTTCTCTCAGTTTTCCTATTGATCTGAGTGGACCCAGGTCAGGTCCTAACAGATTGCCTGAGATTATTGGGACTCTGGGCTCTGATTGACATTTCTAGTCTCTCACAAGCCCCTCCTATTTCTTTTAAGTCTCTCTCTCCCTCTGCTTCCCTCTCTCTCTCATGCCCAAAGCTCGCTCTCGCCGGGTTTGTCACTAGCTGCTGCCCCCCCCCCCCTTCTTTTTTTTTTTTTTTCCTAAATCTGTTTACTGACGTCGCGATCTTTTATTTGAGTTGCTTTCAAATCTCGTTTTAGCGATCGCCAATCAGTTGTGTGTTTTACAAAGGTTTAACCCTGCCTCATGGTATTCTAATTATATAGAGATAGATTTAGATATAATTTCGTTCATAGCCCCCCCCCCACCACCACCAGAGAGTAGGATGCCAGGGTGTCAGTTGTGAACGGCGCACCGGAGGAACAGGAAAAAGTTGTGACATTTAAAAATAAACCCCCTCTCTCTCTAGTCCCCCTGCTCAGGTCTTCAAATTTACAGCCTTTCCTTGGCGGAGTTCCTTTTGTTTTCTTTATTAAGATATTCCCTCCTATCCTTCCCCCTATCCGGCCCTGGCGAGGGTTACATCTCCTGATACAGATTTAGAAGTCTATTAGATTTTTCTCAAAAAATTTGCATTTCCAGAGCTACCTTGAAAAGTTTCCTAATGTACTGAATCTTTAAAGAGCTCTCTACGTTTTGTCTGGGCTAACAGTGGGCAGATACAGTGGAAAAGCTAAGTTAATTTTCCTCCTAATAAGGGACTTCAAAGAGTTGTAGGTCACAATTTTACATCAAAGGCAGAAAAGAAGGCAAATTAAAATCTTAACAAAGGAGAGACGAGAGCAGCCCTCTGGGCCATTAGTAAATAAGTGGTGTGAAAAAAGGGACAATGACAGGCACTGGAATTAAACTCATTAACACCTTTTTGTCTTGGTGTGAAATCTCTAATTAGGAAATTTATGATCATTTTGCTTATTCCCTCTGTTCTGAATCACTACAAGGCTTAGAAAGTAGTACTTGGTACGTGCAACACTTGCAAAGGGAGCAGTGGCACAGGCTTCTAAGGAGCTATTGGGAAGAAGTCAAGATACGTTTTAATTACCGAGTAAGATTTTCTTTTTTTAACGATCAACACCTTTTAAATTACGGTTTGGTTGTTTTCTTTTTCCTCCCCCCCTTTTTTTTTCTTTTTTTTTTTTTTCCTTCGCTTTTTGGTCCCCCTCCTTTTTCTGAAACCAGCGTATGAGTTGCAAATTAGCATTTTAAGAGTAGTTAAAACCCAGTGCAATCACGGAGCGTCCGTGGCGAGCACGGGAACTCTCTGTTCCGCTCCCGCAGCTGCCTGGACCGTGAGGAGTTCAAGCAACCTGCGACTGCGGGCAGGGCTGAGCGGCCCTGAGCCTGCCACCTTTATCTGCTCCTTCAAACACCTCATGCTTTAACACAAAATAAAGTTTGAAGGGTCTTTGGAAAAGTTGAGGCTGGAGAAGCCTCATTCACCATACTCCCCTCTCTTCCTAAATGGTCTCTGGATTTATTGCCTTTAAAATGTGATTTAGGTACAAAATAACCCACTGTGCCCACAGTATGGATTTTTATAACTACATTTCTTTAAAAATGAAATTCATGTCAGATTATGCAGTTAAGGGAATCGACCTTGATAGCTTGCTATAATAAAACTGTATCAGCTTGTAATAAATGCGGATTACGGCAAAGCAAGATCCAGAATTAAAATTCCCTGAATCAATATATGAAAATCTGTAGGAAACATCTCTAATCGTATTAAATTCATCTTTATAGCATTTCCTATCTGCTAATCTAGTGCAAAAATAACTCTGGGTTGGAATAATTTGTTTTTCTTATTCAACGTCGCTGCTTTTGATAGTCTAATGCGCAGGGGATAACAATATTAAATTCACTTATAAGTTTATTTCTTTTTAACTCGAAGGAAAACAGCGAGAGAACCCCACGTCCTGTTTTCCTTCAAAGGTTGCTGTGTGCAGCGACCGGCGGGGCGGGGGCTGTCACCGAGGGACCACAACTTGGACAAATACATGTCCGGGGGGGGAAATGGGGCGAATACGAAAAATCGGGTAAATCAGTCGCCGTTTGAAGCTGTCGCCCAGAGCCAGGCTGAGCCCCTCACGGGTAGGCAGTGCGGCCCACGCGTGTCCCACATCACCGGCCCCTTGTTTCTGGGGTTGCAAGCTTGGCATGGAGTGGCAAATCTGGCGAGGTTGTTTTGTGGTTTCTCAGCAGCAGCACAATCAATACGAGTTTGTTCCCGAGCGGTGGCGGGCAGGGAGCGGGGATCCCGGGGGACAGCCTGGAGGGAGGCACGGGAGAGGAGATATTTATGTGTGAGAATGGGTCCAGGTCAGGGGGAGGGTGAGGGATGGTTTATTAATGAGCAAGAAATGTATAAGAAACGTAGCCGGACCGAATGGAAGGAAGGAAAACTCTAAAGGGCTGCAGTTCTTGGCTGGGGGAGTGGGAAGAGGAGGGAAGAAAAAAAAAACAAACAAAAAAGGACAAAAATAAAAAATAAAAAAAAAAGCGGAGAAGACAGCAAACGCCGGGGAGAGAGGGAGGAAAGCAGAGGAGACAGCTTCCCGGGGCAGGGCTGGGGTTGGAGCCATGTCCACGGCGCTCACTTTCGGCAGCGGCTTGTGGGAGGGCGGCTGCGGGGACAGGCCCCGAGGAGCTGGACAGCGGGCGAGGAGCTGGGCCGGGCTGAGCCGTGCGAATGGCGGCGGGAGTGGGAGCAAAGCCCCTTCCCCTCTGAGAGCAGGGGAAAGAGATTTGCCGTGCCGGAGCCGAAGGGGTGTGAGGCGGAGAGGCTGGAGCCGGCTCGTCCCGAGGGCCGGGAGAGCCTCGCAGGGCGCGAAGGCCGCCCCCCCCGGGGACCCGGGGCGGCAGAGCGCTCCTTGGCCGGACAGACACGTGTCTTCTGGCCGGGACCTGTCAAAGCCGGGAGAGTGGCTCCTGATTTATTACCCCAAACACACACTCACACCCGTAGCCCGCCCGTCCGCCCTCCCCCCGGCCTCGCCTCCCTCCTCTCCCGGCTGGCTCACACGATGCCGAGCTCAAACCAAACCTCCCTCTGGCTGCAGCTTTCCTGAGTCCGCAGCCGGCTCCTGAGCCAGCCCCGCCGGCAGGAGGGGCCGGGCCGGATACTGCCCGTCCGGTGCCCTGGAACCCAGCCTCGGTGCTCTCCGCTCATGCCGCGCCCCCCTCCGCCAGGTCACTGTAGCGGAGGGGAGCGGGACAGGCCCCGGGAGGTGGCGGCGGCCCGGTCCGTCTCTCTGTGCTGAGGGGCCCGGCTGTGGAGTCGGAGGGTGCTGCTGGGAGCGGCCGGGGAGCTGCTGGCGGCGCGGACAGTCCTACGGGGCCAGGGGTGTCGGGACGCGGGTGGCAGCTGCGGCGTGGGGCAGCACACCGGGAACGGGGAAAGGGGAAGACACGTGGGTTTAGGAGGAGAAGGGCCGCAGTTAAAAAAGAGCTTAAAAAAAAAGAGGGAGAGATCAAAGCGCTGGGTAAAAGACTCTTCAAATTACACGTTTGAAGCTTTTCCATAATTCCAAGGCGACAGATAGATAACAAGCTGCACATTCCTTATCACATATGGAATCAATCTGAAAGGAGTCTCTTGATCAGAATCTGGTAATTGCAGTGACATATGATTTGGAAAGAAAACACAATTAATGACCCTTCATGTTAAGGCTTTGGTAGGAGGCCACTGACAGTCCACGCTCTGCAGCCGATGTTAACTTTTTTTTTTTTTTAAGTTATTATTATTAGTGCTTAACTATTGAAGGGAGACATTATCGAGCCTCGGAGACTGTTTTGTCTCCGTTCCCGCTGCAGGTTTCTTCAGAAGGGGGAGGAGAAGAGAAGGGGACGGGAGGGCGTGCGTGCCTTTCCTCCCAAGGTTTGGGGAGCTAAAATGATTTAGTACCTTGTCTGTAAATCTAATGACCTAAGGTGAGAAAAAATACTTCATCTTTTATTATTACCATTTGTGGTGAGCGTTACCAGGAAACAGCAGAACCCGTTTGAAATGGTAAATATATGTATCCATTTAAAACCCATTATTGCAGAGATTTTTCCAAAGCGAAATAAAGCGAATCATGCCCAATCCCATTTTCTAGCGCCCTCTGACCATGGATCCGATGCCCTTTCCCAGCGCTGGAACCGCTGTGGAACTCCTGGGTGCTGGGGGAGGCCGCAGTGGGTGCTTCGGGGCTGTTCCTGTGACACGCATCCTGTGATGTTGGGAGAGGAGGGAGCGACGTTTTTAAAAGCTTTACCCTTGTCATTAAAAAGGTAATGGCTTTGGTTTAGAAGGGAGAGGTTCATTTGAAGGTTATAAAGCATACACTTTAATAGGATCGAAGTGAAATTAGTTAATAAGAAAATGCTGGCCAGAAGCTCTCCGGGCTTTTAAGTGCTCTCCAGGCCATTTAGGGAAATTGAATAAGAACAGACTCCGTTACCTGCAGCTCCAACTATTATCTCCAGTTCTGCTTAGAGGCGAGAAGGGAAAAATAGTGCCTGAGAGACCTGAAGTCCCATACACCTCCTGCCAGCCAATTTCTTTGAGAAATAATGTCCCTTTTCTGCTCGTAACCGTGTTCTCTTCCTTCTTCCGCTTTTAAGCAGACCAGACTGCACTATGTGTACCACAAGGGGGTAAGCAAAGGTAAGGGGCCATCAGCAGATGCTCACGGCTCCGGGCGCAGCTCTGAAGAGCAGCCTCCTCCCTGCCTGGGCAACGCTGGCCTCTTAGTGTTGTTCTTTTCCTTTCATTAATCTGAATGCTTTCCCCCCACCATCACCACCATTGTGGTGCTTTGCTGATTTGCGTTCGGACCGTTGCCAATAGGTCAGTATATTGTGTTACACAACTTCCTATCTACTCCCTTCCTCCTTCCCTTTAAACTTTATAGTTTTTAGAGGTGTTAATAAAACCTTTCCTTTGGTAAATCGTTCATTAGAAACCCCACCGAAACCTGGAAAGACTTCAGAAGAAGAAAAAAAAAATATGCAGCGCTCAGGAATGAGAGGTTGGGAGAAGGCTTTTCTCCAAAAAAACGCATAATTGCTATGAATCTTAGGAAACATTAATCTTTATAGGAATTTGTGATTCATATCTGTGGTTTGACCGTTTAGTTGATTTACAATCTGTTAGTGCGATTCACTAATTTTATGCCAATGTATTTTATGCACCCGGTTAGACTTTCCATCGCCCCTCGGAGCGAGTGGCTTTCATACCCTGCGGGTGTCAGCGTAGCCCTCAGCCCGGCTCCGCAGGGATTTTCGCCGCTCTCCGCAGCAGCGGGAAGTGGACTCAAAGTCCTCACAACTCTGGGAAATTTCCCCTCACCATTTCCGTCACACCTTTCCCAGCCTGCAACTCCTGCGCTTATAGACCGGGCAGCCCCCTTACATCCCGCCCCGAGCCTCCGCCTTCCTCCGCTGCTGCGGGATGCGCGCTGCTCCCACACCGGCTCCGACGGGAGGGCTGCAGTCTTTGCAAGATGAAGATATCCTGGGTTCCTCCAGTTTTACCAGTGGGGTAAACGCAGATGGTTCCCCTGCCGCTGCTCCGTTCCTGGGTACGCAGCAGCTCCCCGCAGGGGCTCCCGCAGCCCTGGCCACTGACCCACCCCCTGGGCCTTTCCCCCGGGACGGGGCCTCCTCGGCTTCCCGGAGGGTTCCCCCACGACCCTCATCCCTTGTAACCAGACCGCCGGGAGGGGCTCTTCCTCAGGGAAGGGGACGGTGCATTTGCCGTGGGGGGCCTGGACGTGTCGGGGAAAGCTACCCGAGGCACGATTCTGGTGTATGCATGGAAGCAAAGCGGAGCATTCCCCGGGTGGGATATTCCTGCAGTCCCTTGCCGCCGCCTGGGAGAGCCGGGGATGCGGACAGACTCTTGTAATTTGTAACTGGGCTTATTAGCTGGAGGGGAAAACACGAGCAGAGAAAAGGAGCAGCAGCTTCACTGAAGAGAACACTGCGCTGAGTCTGATTTTGTGACACAATCATTAATTACTACAGTATTAATTACTATTTTTCCAAAATAGTCCCTGCCCGGAAGGGCTTGCAGCCCACATATGCTGTGTAATGATACTCTGGTGCCACATTAGGTCCCAGGTAGCGTTTACAAATGGCAACACCCACAATATCAAAGCCGGTCATCTCGCAGCCTGAGATTTTCTGTCCCATCGGCCTGGGTAGGATGATTTTGACACACATAAAATACATTTAAATACCAAAGTCTTTGTTCACGTTCATATTCCGCCAAACTTTTAGATCGCGATGGTGTAACTACTTTATTTGCTCTGCATCCCACGGATGCTGCCTTATATCAGTAACAAACAAGCATTGATTTTATGGTAAAGTCACTTTGGGATGGGAATGAGTAACTTCAGGCAGTGCTATCACTGTATTACATGGAAATGGCCCAGGTAACAAGATGAACATTGATTCAGCATTATGTTTGATCAATAATGAAATAAGTAACTTCAGGGCCAAATTAAAATGCAAGCTGGCTTAACGCTGCCAGCTTCTGGGCTAAGTGACAAGGCTAATTCAGCAGGGAAATGGCAATATTTGCATTAGAGGCTGCATCTGTTGTTTGGTGAAGGAGGCTGGATCTGCAATAACGTCGGATAAAATTGCAGGGAGAGGGGAGCCAGGCCCGAGCTGGGGGAGCAGAGCCCGGCCCGGGAAAGCCCCGCGGTGGGTCTGGAAGCTAGCAAGGGAGTGTTTCAGGAGACGAGTGGGAGCATGGCCGGGGCTCCTTGCACCAGCGGCCCTTGTCCCGGTTTGTCAGCCGGTTTCTCCGCAACCGATTTTCACAGCTCTAACATCGCTACTGGGACGGTGACACGCATTGATCCCCAATAGCAACAGCCATTCTCGCCTTCGGCTGGCCAGCGCCAGCACCAAGACACGAGGGAAAAACCTCAGTTAGGGTGGGAAATGCGCAAGATGTAATCCCGCTCCCCAAACTGGAGCCGGGACGGAACAGAGGGCAAAGTCCGAGGGAATTCCCGGCCTTTCGCCGGGTG